TGATGCGGGTCATGAAACGGAACAGCTCATGCTCCACTTTCTTTCTCTGCCTGTCTCCTGATTAGAGACTACTCGCGGGATCGACTCACATTGCATACGTTGCATTATACTGGGTCGTAGAATACTAAACGACCACCCACGGGATTCACAACTCAGGGAGCGGCGAGTAGTGCTTCTCGTAAAAACTGGGTTGGGAGACCCAGGTAATAAACGTAAGTCCGCTATTCAGCCAGCCTTTTGAGGTACTCTGGACGAGCCTCCCCACCTCCCTGCCAATTTTTGGGAATGACCCGAAAGGGTCAGCTAACAAAAAATGGTCTGGTGTAGTTATGTCGGTAAAAGTAGACCATCTTCGATGGGGAGCCCTTACTAACATCAACACACTGAAGGGGCATTCCAGCGCCTTTTATGAGCGAATTCGTAAAAAATTTTTCCTTTTCCGTTCCAACTTATTCCCATTTAATATAATTTGCTCAGATGAGTTTTTTTCCGCAGATCAAATCAATTTATTCAGGTTGTTCTGTGAGAGATACCCATGATCCTTACCCGCTTGGACTTGATCTATTCAACGTCGTCCTCCCAGAAACTGTGGATTCATATTCTTCAGTAAACCAACAGCCCGCAAAAATAGGAAAAATCAAGGACCACCTTTTTCCGAAAGTAAGTGTCCATATGGAATTATTAATGGCCAAATGAAAATAAATTTTTCGGTCATTCCAAGCCTAGACAATGCTTCCAGCCAATATGTACCTGGCCAATTGTTTGGTAACGGCTCAAGCTAATCGAATTGCCCATGCTCTAGGGTTTGGGTGAAGGGCACTTGAGAAAAGGGAAATGCTAGCCCCCTCTCAGAGCAATTACGAATTGATCTACAAGTCCATGCTCGTCGTACAATGTTTAATGAGCAGAAGGCCATTCGCCACAAGTAAAATGAGAAGGATTAACCTCTATTCAGTGAAACAATTCAAAAATGAATCCATTCGATTCAATTGAGATGAAAGTAAACTGATCTATAAAAATGTTAACGAGGCCATCCTGTAGCTGTATTCCTAACTACTTCAAATTTTGATGTTAGAAAAGCAAGAGGAAACGTTTTAGTTAAAACTGGAGTGATCTGAGCAAACCTCCTCGAAATTTTCGGAAATGCTCTTCCTGGGGAAGGTAACATTTTGTTTACAAATCTCGTTAATTCGATTTATTGATCTTATTCCCCTAGTGATTAGATTGGGAAAATTCAATCCTGATGATTTGCGGATCTGTTCGAGGCTCTGGACAAGCTAGTTCCCATAAAATCTATGGCCCTTTGAAAAAAGGTGAAAACTGCGACTCTTCAATGATTTCTTCGGTTAGGCGTACTCCCATGTTGACCTTTTAACTCAAACATATAGACAAACAGATAGCGAAGCCCAGACCCACCACTTAGCGGGAGTAGGAGAGATAAGGGAGGCTGTACTGGCGAACTGAGTATACCCTTGATGATTGAGCGTCCAGCTTCTGAGAAAAAAGAGGTGCTGTGAACCTAGCATTCCAGTAGAATTGGGGTCGTCCTATCGAGACTTTTCAGTAGTGGGGAGTTCCCACGATCTTTCCGTCCTACCGAGAATAACTGGAACATTGGTATTACAGAGTTTCCGAGTAAAGAGGCCTCTGAGACATTGATGAGTTGTTAGTCAGACAAGTACTTTCCCCCATTAGGGCTCCCCGGAGACATACTCCCTGCATGCAAATGGATTTCCCCTCTTGTCTCTCTCAAGCATTGGTTAGTCTATAGCACAGCCCGGCAATGATACGACGCAGTTGTCATTGCTGGTGTGTAATCAGGCTAGCTAGGCTGGTTAACCTCCGCGTTTCAGAGAACGGCGGCGCGGTCGGGGCCTTGATGCCAATCCGTCTGTGTAGGGCTGCTGATTCTACGTAACTCGTCTATTCAGCCACCCAGCAGAGACATCAAGATCGAGTCTCCCCGCCTCTCTGTCAATTTTTGAACAAGACTCGAAAGAGTCTGACAGAGCGAGATTGAAGGGTTAAGTGAGGAAGAGCTTGGACGAAGTGGTAAAGGTTCCTGAGTCCTTCGTTCACGGAGCTCACAGTGGGCGAATAGGAAGTGATTAGGAAGCTGTGGGAGGAACGTGGGGAAGAACCGAAAGGCCACTAGAGTTCGTTGGGAAAGTTTTTCTCAAGCCAATCAGACTACCCATCCCTGTGGTGACCCACGCTGTCTGACGATTCGAAAAGTGATGTACCCCTGAAGTCCATAGATGGGAGCGTTTAACTTCTCCAGTTCCCCATCATCGTCATCATTTGTATGCCCACAGGGAGATGCTTTACACCAGGTCATAAGGTTAGGATATCAGAGTTCCAAGTCAGGAGCCACGGTTCCACTTGGGAGGCCAGATTCCTGAGTCGGGAAACCTTGACCCGCATTTCAGACCCTATGACTAGTGAACGCTTCGACGTCAACCAAACCGAATTAAGGATGCGCCTATCATTGTACTTCCAATCAAAAACGTATTTCATTCCGGGGGCCAAACGATGTAAAAGTTGGGGTTTTTATTTTCCTAGACCGTGACCAGTCAGTTGGACCCGGAGGGACGGAAGACTCAGTTGTCCCAGCAGAAATGGATGCAGGATTCTATCTTCTGACCATACGTGTGACATAGCGGCACTTGTTACTACTCCATTTCCACCTTGTGAAGACCACTGTTCAAAGTTCGTACTGGTTTTCTGGGTTTATTGTTCCTCCCTTGCCTTTTCATGGAAAAAATACCGTTGAAGCAGATCAATTCACTATGAGTGAAATAGAAAATTCTCTTCGGTGCCCACTTCCGGTAATGAACGATTAAACAAATTTGTAATGCCTTGATGGACCTGCTTAAATGGGAAGTACAGTAAGTACCTACCCGTTCAGCCGGCTCCGCTATGCGATTTCCGATCCCCCCGGATTTTTCTGCCTTTCGATAGGCTGGTTTTCTTTTCCTTCGATGTTTGTCGAAAAAAAAATCCAAGATTAGATTTTGGCTCCCGTGCTAGCGAAAGGAAATTCAATAGGCCCCCCTACTAAAACTGGTTGTATTGAGACGACGGGGACGAAGTATTCGCTGTTGTTGGCATACGACTAGAGTCGAACGACGACGACGATGACGACGGAGCACCTGAAAACACTTTCACCTTGCCGGCCGGCTGTCACCAACAAGGCCGTCTCGGCCACCCACATACATCAACGATGTTTGTTGGGGTTCGCTCCTTGGCCTCTGGAAATAATGTCGCATTGATGCATTCAGAAATCTTCCAGACTGGTCAACAGCCTCAGAATATTCTAGATGGGTTCCAGAAATAGTGGCTCTCAAAATATCAGAGTTTTCTGTTGAGCTGAACCGAGCAAAGGAATGCGTCCCTACGCTTACCAACTGCCAATCTGGTTTCACATTTCAGGTTCACCATTGCCTTTCAAGGCCGGGTAAAGTACATGGAACTACGTAGAGAGTGAAAAAAACACAATTTAATTGTCGTGCGACTTCCTGGCCCTTCTTTTCTCCGAGTTCACTTCGAAATTCAGGGATTGAATCATACTGTGTCGGAACAACCCAATCACGATTTAGGATGCGCCTCACCCTCGACTTCCATCCAGAATCGACGAGGCGTTTCGGATGCGTGTTTCGCCGATACAATGGCTTTCTGGGGCCAGCCGATTTACTTCTTTTTGCTTTTATCTTCCACATGGGTCTGGTACCGAATATCGGACTCCGTCGAGAATGGGAGGTTTGGTTGGTCCGGACCGATTTCGTTCCATGATTCGATCCCAGACCATGCGTGTGTGGTAATGTGCCACATGCCACTACACCGCCCACAGAAGGAAGGAACATGTCGATATCGAAGAGATAGGTTTTGCCAAATCCGAAAATTCCCCCATTCAGCTCTCACAACTTTCCCATCCTCCATATAAGAGACTTCATGATGGTCTCGTTTCTTATATCAGAAAAGATTTGTTGCCATTCCAAGGTAAAGGTTAATCCCTAGAGATTATTAACTCAATGAGTAATATCTGAGTAGTAACGTGATGCAATAAGCAGAACTCGATTAGCAGGGAAAATTGACCTTCAAAATTTCATTTTTTTTAATTGGGTGCGAACGACTCGCCCAATGGCGGAGAGGGAAGTGAGTGCTTGTGCAGGAGCTATCGAGCAAAGGGAACTGGTACGTTGATGTGGAAACGCCATGTTCCAGTTGATTTTAAGACCGTTTACTAAATACGTATTATATTTGCACACAAAAAGGATGGAAGTTTCTGAAGGGAATAGAATGTGGGGGTGCATGAAGGCAAGACATTCCCTGATTTGGGCCTAGGTAAGCCTAAACATCCACCTATTTTCATCTACATCTCCATACTACTTACTATTCTCCCTGTAAGTAAACAGCTCGAAAAGCCGTTGCTCACATTCAGTCCTCGAACGTGGGTCCGCCTAACCCCGGAAGGGCTTCCTTTCTGTCAGGTTGGTCGAGTAGGTTGATTGCTGTTGATTTCACATGAGGGAATACATTTAACCATTTGAATATCGTCCAACTTTTACTACTTTCAGTATGGGTAAAAAAATTTCCACAATTACAACTGGAGTTCTAAAGCAGACCGCACCCTTCCAGGAACCAGGATTTGCAGGACCCACCCCGTCACCCTAACCCTCCGCTAACTGTTCAAACAAAGCGATATTTTTGAAAAAAAATTTCGAAGTCTAAAAACGGGAAAAACTTTATTTACACGATTAAATAGACACATTTCCGAAGATATATCGTTGATCAAGCAAAGGGATGAAGATATCAATGAGAAAATATTGTAAATACGAGGAATTCAACGCAAACAAACATATCGTTGTTTATACCAGAGAAATTGAAAACAAAAATCTACAAAATCGATCCATTGATCGTATTGAAGCAAGAATCGCCAGGCAAACAATAGCAAGAGGTGTGCTTAAACTATAGTCATCGATTTTATAATGAACAAGCAATTAGCGAGTGAATGCAAGGATCACAGGGGCGATGAGGGCAGCCATCACAGTGCAGTGGGTGGCCGATTTCAGATTCATCAACTTCATCACATCCTCCAGTCCTCCTTTCTCGAAAATGTTGTTCAGCATCTCTTGCCATTTTGTCTTGTTCTGCTCGAATTTAGCAGCTCCATCCTTCTTCACCTGCAATTCGATCAATAAGGCCCTATTCTACAGAAGCAACACATTTTTGCGATTTCACCAGTAGCATCAATTATTGCTGTGACCATTGCCATTGGAATTCAAGGGGGCAGACAATGAGTATTAAATTTATGAAAACCACTCACTTGAATAAAGTGTCAAAGCAAGTTTCAAAAACAAAATCAATTAAAGACCGATTGGGGAGGAAGTAAGGTGCATGGCGCATCCGCAAGAGCTCGAACAAAATCCCTCCACCCGCAACAGTTATGGACGTTCGAAGGAAGTGAAGAGCTAAATTGCCTAGTTTCGCACAGGCAAGCCGATTTTCTTTCCCACAATCTTCTTCCTTGGATGGTAGCTTCCCACTAGCACCACTGGCGCTTCCAAAAGATAACTATTGGTGTACTCAATTAGACCCTTGAAAGTAGTCAGTTTCAATAACCAGTTTCGGTGTAATGTTTACAGCGATCGTCAACTCTTTGGTCCCTCCCTTGGCATGACAGCGTAAACACTTCCTGCAATCTTCTTATGTGACCACAAGTGTTGAGCCGAATTATCAAGGCCTAGTATTGCCAGTTGTAATTCTGCAAAGTGAATAATCGGCTATTTAGGATTTTATTGATTGGGATTCTACTTGTCTGTGTCTGGAATTTACTGTAAAGGTGATAATGATAATTCTTTCAGCACGAATTCCATGTGTGCAGTTAACACACATCGTTTTGGGCTTTCTTTACAAAAATGCTGAAACCCGTGTTGTCCATCTCAATTACAAGGAGACAGTTAAGTCAGTAGAAATGTCAGTAACTGGGAGGACAATAAAGCTACACCGGAAAGGAAAGTATTAACCTCTTGAGGTTGACTCAGACCATCTCAGTAGTGCGCCATATAGTCAACACCCTCTTACAATTGTGGCAGCAACTGAATGTCTAATCGTCATATACATACATATACTAGGCACTTATCTGTCGGCCAAATTATGAGTCATAATCCCTCAACAATAAACTTTGGATCTGATATATCAGGCCGATAGATTTCTTGAAGAGCCTCGGATTATTCATCCATTAGGCTTCGTCTGCTTTTGAAAAACATTCCCCAGCTGAATCATATGCCTCCATTGTTTTGTCCCGAACACTCGATTTAATCTCTTTCTCTTTTCAATAACATATTGACCACGTAATTAAACTTTTCCAAAGAAATGCCGACGACCAGCTGTTGTCGGTTTATACTAAACGCGTGACCCTTCCACAAAAAAAACATCGATTTAACTTGGGCTGCTAAAGAACTTAGCTAACCGTGAAAAGCATCGGAGATGGTCATGTGCATGGCGTGTGCTACTGCTTAGTTTTACTTGACCCTCAAGAAATCAAGTGTGAGATAGCATCCGGTGTCAGACAAATATAGCCCACATGGGAGAGTTAATCGTCATGGGAGCAAATTTGGGAAGACGAAAATATAGTCTCCAGGAAAACATATTTACTTGAGCGACGATTTATTCTTAGAATAAGGATTCACTGAGAGGACAATAACGCTACACCACAAAGGAAAGTATAAGTTGCTTGGGGATGACATAGATCGGCTCTGCAATACGCCACGTAGTTGATGCCCTCTTTGAATCGAAGCAGAAATTGAATGTTTCTTCGGCCTACCCATATGTATGCTAGGCACTAATCTCTATGGCTCTGCACGGTTCTGGCTCGCATTCAAAGCCTCCACGATTCTTGAGGAAGCAACTGCTTGGCACATTCCTATCTTGCCAGAGTTTGATGTCACTGAATTTTTTGGACGAGAATCGGGGTTTGCAGCGAAAGTCAGCCAGAATGTATGTATAGGGCCATACAGTAACCGAACTTACAGTAACATCCTTCACCTCTATTCTCGTTTCGAATGACCGTGAATTCAGAAGAACCTCCAACAGAAGTAATTTCCAAGTTCCTGGAGGAATCACACTTTCACTGTCGGTCCCCACTTTGGACGCACCTATTGCTATTGGTTATCTCGTAATGTCGTTTTCACTGGGTTTCGTCGTAGTCGTCGGGAAATAAACGATCATCGGACAGGATTCGCAACAGTAACCGGATCGATTTGTGTTTTTGATGCGTGTTTGCCCCGATGTTTATGTCTGCCGACTTCGAAGGCCATCTGGGAAATTTTGTTGCTCGACAGTTGAATAGATGTCCTTGGTCGGTCGGAGCGCTGTTACCGCTGTGATGTTTTGAAAAACTGCCGACTTTCGTGGTGAAAACCCTCAACTACATATCGATCGTCGGAAAGATAACTCAATGAAGATGGCAATCTCGGTATTCACCGCTTTCAAGAAGCCATAAAAGATCAGAAGGTTCACTGCCGTCTGTTTCCCTCCTGCGGCTCAATTTCAATTCGAATCTCGAAATCTGATGACTCGGGACCCGCGAATGATTCGAACAATGCTCTTTTACCCACATGCAACTTGTAGACGAATCGACCCGAGCTATTTCTATTCAAACTTTTCATGCAGGCGGGCAAAAAATGTGATCATCATGGAAAAAATCTGTGATCACCGGTCGAGTCTAAAAATTCTCTCCTGACGTTTCCAAATGATTCCAATTTGATAGTTAAGAGTATTCAGAGGCAGCTTCAGCTGTTTACAGGCAAAAAGCCAACGTCCATAGGTTAAGGGTCGGGTAGGGTGACAATGACCGATAAAAATGAGGAGAGGAGTTGCCGTGACTGGAATGCTTTCGCTGGTGTTCCCAGTTGCCCGAGCCCTGACATTCTTCAATCTTTTTGGGACCGCTTGCATGTGTCCGAACTACCTGTAGAGACGTCAACCTTGAGCAGTTTAACTGGTAGCGCCAAGGTGAAACCGTATTGGGAAGGTAATTGTTGAAATGCTGACTCAGTTCCGACTAGAAGGTGAGTGAGGAACATCGGAAAGAACAGAAGCATATTGAATCATGTGGTACTTGAACTCCTTTTTAAAACTGATTGGTAACAAGGATTTCTGGCCAAAAGCTCGGCCCAGGAGTAGCACGGGCATCCGGGAAGCGAGACGGCTTATCATTAGTAAGACAACAGTGACGAGTTGTCAGTCGTAGTTCTATCCCAAACCTTTGCTTTAATGTCAGCTCTTGTCCACTACCCTACCGTCCCTCCAACATAGGATCTCAGCAGTCTAAAGAACGAGGAGAACGATATCGGGGGAGCCCTGGAGTCTCCCTTGAAGCCGAGTTTTACCGAAAACTCAGCGCTTCTCATAAATTTTGCATTTGAACTACGATGATAATCAAAACCCAGAAAAAGGAACTGAATCGAACGCTCCGTTTTTTCATTGAAATGGAATGGGCATCATAGACGGTTTTCCTCGATTGCAGTGACATCTGACAGCGATTAAGTCTAATTAAAAAGCCGCACTGGTTTTATGACCATTATGGACCTAAGGGACTGTTGTTGGCTCTTTGGTGTTCCTTTATCCGTATTTGTAAATAACCAGAATTTTTGCAACTGCTATTTTCGGGAATATGAACTACCCATTAATATCATAGGAGGTCCTCTTTCCAGGGCACAGCAAAAATGGTCTCTCAGAGATGCAGTTTTGAGCCGACGTTTACATAGTGTGGTAGGGTGTCATCGACGAGATTCTTCTTATAGTAAACCCGCCCAATCCGTCCTCCACTGACGTCATTCGTGCTGGAGACACCTTCGACAATGCTTCTCCCACATCAACTTTTTCCTGCTCTGTTGGCTTTCTCCAAACCGAGNCTAACTTACCAATGCACACCCCCAGCCACCTTTAAACCCAAATTTTGAAGCCGTCTTGTGACTGAATGTGAACTCATGGCCTTCAGTACAGCTCATTTCGATGCACGCGACGCCCACTGTGAGCGAGGCTCCGCCAAGCTGATGTATGCTTTATACTTCTCGGGACATAACCCACCTATCCCACGCTTGACCCGGTCTCTCCAGGCAGTTCTAAAGGAGCTAAGGAATTTCGTGACAGACATACAGACAGACAGATGAACAGACAGACGAAGCGCCTTATAGTAAGTAGGATGGTAAGCTACAAAAGATAGGCAGCATACTCTGAGTGTTGCATCTCCCAGAAAAGTCATTTCCAGCCTTCCTTCCTACTTCTGCAATTAGCCACCAAGCGAAATCACTTTCAACTAGCCCTACTGCTGAAAACCCATCTGAAGGAAACAATGTCCATGAGACTTCTGACTTGATAGGCCTTTCTGCTCTTATACTATGTATAGCTTAAAAGCTGTCGATCGATGTGTGTACTGTCCCAACCCCAACTAACCTGAGCTCCGAAATTCTCCACTTGTTGAATGTAGTTGTTCACTTGTGCAAGCGTTTTCTTCTGTGCATCATTGGCCATTGGCTCGAGCATCTGCAATATCGGAGTTTTCAATCACAAAATTAACAAAACGTTTTATGGTGAAGGTTAAAGCGTTGACTAAAAGTTGGGGCTTTCAGCAAAAGGACAGGATAAAAGAGTTGGTCCTCACGGTCCGATGATAGGGTTATAGTATAGGCCTACGCCGTTCGAAATCATTGTGGCGTTAGAATCCATATGTAACCAAAGAATGTGACCTGCCGGAGTTGTCTGGCATTTAGATTAGTGAATATATCCTCCCAGTCCCGTACAGTATCAGTTATACGATGCGACGAGAATGGAAGACGATGGCCTGAGCGAATATTGATTGGCGATTCGATCCACGGACTGTAAATGGGGTAGAGCATCCCGTGCCCTTCATCTCCCTTAGAGTAATCTTTAGTCCTTGGGAGCTCCGCTAAGCCTTGTAAGCTCCAATTACTTAGTGGAACCAAGTGAGCAGAACCAAGATAACCTTCGTTTTCATATCAATATTGAAAGAAACGATTCGTAGTAAACCATCCTCTCCTAAAGAGTAACATTACCTTTGTTTTCTCCTTGATTGCGGTCAGCAGATCTTGGACCCGGTTGATGTTCTTCTCGAGCTCCTAAACAATAAATAAACATTAACAGATTCGACGTAGAGTTGACCAGGAGCTACTTTTCGGTTACAGCTAGAGGAATGGAAAAGAAAACAGAGAAAAGTGGGGGTCCAAG